CCAGGCCTCTGGTAGAGGACCCAAGCTCAGAGGATGAAAGAGACCACCCGCGGATGGTGAGAAGGGAATTTTTTATAACATACACACACACAATACAAATATATAATATACAAAAATGCTGTGCGTCTCCTGGGGGCTAAGCCCCCCTTGTCTTTAAAACCTAGTGACACCCCTGGTTCCACCGCCATCGTTTTCTACTTCACTGATCTTTGTGTATCTGCAACTGTAATACTATCAATATTACTAAATAATTAATCACTAGCTGACTTCAAGGAGCAGCAAAACTATTTCGGAAAGCTGCAGTTGTGTAATGAAACTCTTTAAAATGGTGCCTACATATAAGGATAATCTGGTTGTACAACACCAGCAGCGTATTTTTCATGAGGAAACAATAACAGGTATAATCGTGGTAAAGTAAACGCCTTTACCCTCTGTGGAATAATGCTCCTCTTAGCAGGAATAACATTTGAAAGAAACTATTTGAACTTCAGCTCGATGTTGTTGCGTTGGTGACTCAAAATTGCAAAGAAATTGTGAAGAAAAAGACAAATTTCAAACTCAAGTCTTGCTGATTTCTTAGTGTTTGCGACCAGTCAGCCATTCAGGCCCCTTTCATGTTTGATTAAAAAAAGACTTAAACCATGTGATTAAAACCAATATTAAATAGTTTCAAAATAGATGACTTTATTTAAACTTTAAGGATGTTTCTTATACATTTTTATTCACATTTATTATTATTTTTTATACTGGTTCAGTGCAGTTTGAAAATGATGTGACATATTTCCAGTTCAGGTGAAAAATAGTGCAGCATCTTTACAACTGTAATGGCTTCACTTTGAAATCCTCTGTCAGAGAAACTCTACCTGGTGGAACACCTGAGTGAGACATTCTGAGCTTTTTTTATTCACCTTTTTTGACGTAAAGTATCAGTTTTTTTAAATATAAACTTGATTTTTTAAAATAACGTTTTAGGTTTGGAGTAAAAGAAAAAAAATCAGTGAAAGTCAAGATGAACTAAGAGAAGACGGAGGAAGAAAAAGAGGAGAGAGAGAGTCGGTGCAGCTCTGTTGGAGTGTCTAATGGTCACTTAGCCTGGCAGAGAGTCCATGATGCTGCGAGGCTGTCAATCTGTCAAAGTGCACCCAGTGCAATTCTGACTGCCTTGAAACACACACACACACACACACACACACACACACACACACACACACACACACACACACACACACTGTGGATTCAGCGTAGTCACTTCATACTTTATGAGAAAAAGACTCTCAGTGTGAAGCTCCAAAGATCAGAAAGTGTTGTAATCAGTCGGGGTTTTGACTTATTTCAAAACTCTGACTAATCCAGAAATTATTTATCTGCATCCATTAGATTAAGCTCAAATCCATACCCATAATAACACAACAACTATGAAATAAGAGCATAAAATACATTGTTTTTCCCCTTTCTTCTCAGATTATCTCATTATATCTCAGATGCTCTAAGCAGTGGTTCCCAAATTATTTTCCTCAAAGCCCCACTTTCTTCCAAAGACGTGTTCAACCTTTATCTATCAAAAAAAAGTAAATAGTTACAAAACTTTATTTGGGAAAAAGACATAAAAGAACTGGGTTAAACAGAGTTTTAATTATTCAAATAGACTCATTTTGGTGATTTAATATACAAACAATACATTTTCACTCGTATTCTCGTGACACGCTGATTTATGAAAAACATTCTGATCATTAGAGGTAGAAACTATATTACAACAATGGTGGTTACATTTAGATTTGAGGTCCTTTTATTAGTAAAGGTCAAAGCTGACGTCTTGCTTGAAGCACTACCACAAATGATTCTTTGCTTCTCACATGTTCTGGTGTCTCACCTGCAAACAGACAAGAGAAAAAGACCAGAAAGTTCTTTTACTGCATTTTGTTCCTGACGTGACTTCAACTTGCGATGGATTTTTATTTTACTTTGGTGCATTTTTGTGAATAACACGACTAATCAGTGCTCCTGTATGAACCTATAGAGACAGCTCATTACTTCTGAAGGTGTGTCGAAAACATTTCTGCGTATTTTAGACGTTCGATTAGCAGAATTTGAAGAGGTGGTTCAATCACTGAATCGGGTGTGTTGGACCAGGAAACAAGGAAAACATGCAGGGTAGCGGTCCTCGAGAACAGGACTGGACACCTGTGCCTTGAATCAACAAGCTCAGTTCCAGTCAGCTGTCAGCGTTGCTCAGATATTTATGTTCACTCATCCAAAGCTCTGTTTTTAATTTACATGGTATTAAAGGGCCTATATTATGTGTTTCTCAGGAATATACGAATTTAAATACTATACCATAATAAAGTATCTATGTCACCTTTAGTTGTTATTAAAATGCTGTTTTGATGTTTAAATAGAAAATAAACTTATCTTCTCATCACTTCCTCTTCTAAACGCCTTGAAATTAACCTCTGTCTCTTTAAGAACCACCTTCCGCTTCTGTCTCACCCATTTCGGTGGTGGTGGTGGGGGGTGGCTGCCATGATGCAGTTTGCTTGGTATCTGAAAATTTCCTCAAAGGTATTTTTAATCTGAGTGAGAAGTAGTGGAGCTCAGCAGACAGTTTAAGTTTCACTTTCACTTTCACCCGCCTGCAGGAGTCATGGGCGGGTTGTGTGGGGAGGGAGGGCGGTGCGGCGCTCCGCCATGAGGAAGTTCGGCTTAAAGACACGTCCCAGAGGCGTTCCTGGTCCCCACCTGTTGTTTTGCTCCTCAGCATGGCTGCCTAAAAACGCTACAGGATTTCTCAGACATGCATGAACGAGTCAAAGCAAGGCTTTGGGCATGTTTTTTTATGAGAGTATAACATAACATGATATAAAACTCAAAAAAGTTGATTTTACATGATATTGCACTTTAATGTTTTATCTCAGTTTTTTATGATGCTAACAGGTTGTGTTTGTTGTTCTTCACTTCTCCAGGGACGACATTCAAACTCCTCCACAATGCTTGTCAGCCTCCACTTGTCTCCCTCCCATCTTCAGGACAAGCACTTGGTGTCCCCACCCTCCAGTCAACATCCTCCTCCTCCTCCTCCGGACCAGTCGTCCTGCCATCCTCAGCCCCGGCTCACCCTGCCCTTCCTCTCCTTGTCCTTCTCTCTGCTTCTCCTCTCCGTAGTCCTCTTGCCCGTCTGCGAATCCAGGAGGGGTGGTGGTACAGGAGGAGGTCCCGGAGGTGTTCCAGGGGGACAGGGAGGCCAGAGGGGAGGCAGCAGCCAAAGGGATCCACTTATCCCTCCTCATTACCACCCGGGGTTACCAGTCATCAGTCCTAAACCCAACAGCCCGTACAGTATCGCTGTCATCCTGGTGGGCAATTCTAGTGAAGTATCCTTAGGGGCTGGACTAGAAAAGGAAGACTTTCGCCACATTCCTTATCCTCCCAAAGTGGAGGTGGTCACCATGAACGAGACTGATCCCAAGAGCATCATCAATCGGATCTGTACGCAGATGACGAGGAACTCCCTACAAGGCGTGGTGTTCGGTGATGACACGGATCAGGAGGCCATCGCTCAGATCCTGGACTTCATATCTGCTCAGACACAAATTCCCATCCTGGGCATCAGAGGAGGATCCTCTATGGTCATGGCTGCCAAGGTAGGACACTGTAGTCTGGACTGATAGTAATAATAATCCTTTTTATAGTAGCAGTAAAATATCACCAGCTGCATTCATTTCAAAATAAATTGAATGATGAAACACTTTATTTTATCATTTAAGAGAAAAGCATTCATTTCTAATCTACAAAACAAAAATGTATTTTTTCCCTCCAACATTTTAATGGTGTATCAACCTCTTATTGCTAAATGTCCCTCATTCCAAAAACTGTGTTTCTATTGATCGATCTCTGCTGTTAATTGACAACACCCCGGGGTTCCTGACAAAGACCCGTCTCAGCCTCGAAAAGACTCGCAGCGTGAAGCTAAAGACCACACAAGTCAAAAACCTTCTCTGTGGGACTGTAATCGAGGTTCGAGGTGTTAAACATAAAACTTGGAAAAAGCAAAGCAATAAACAAAACAAAAACAAACAAAACGCAAAATGTCACCAAAAAAAAAAAAAAAAAGAACACAGAGGCGAAAACACGTGAAAAAGCACAAAACAACATCTATATTCAGTCATTTATCTTTAGAGCTGCTGAGTCTCTGATTTGTGTTGCACAGAAATGACATAAAGTGTTTTTCACAGGATCATTTACTGAAAGGTTAAACAACCTCAGATGACTTTGTAACACTGAGGTTGATGATTGTGATGCGACTTGTGCCGATTAAATTAACGGTGGGGGAAAAAACTACGTTCATAATAACACATTGTTTAGCTTGATGATAGGAACACATCATGAATATTAAGTGATAAATTATCTGGTCGTATACTCTGACAAAATACAAGCACAGTTCTTTTGTTCCTTTATTTATGATAAAATCTTTCTGCATTAAAGCATTGTTATTATGTGAAATGCAGGCCTATTTGGAAATAAATTCAAATGAACTGCTGACATCTCTAACTTTGAAAGTCTATGTTGTTTCTGGATTGATTGTTGTTGATTTAGCGTTCTCCAGCTGCCGAGCTGCAGTGTACCTGATTATACCATTAGACCTGTATTATTCTTGAAGGGGTTTCTTGCAAAACAGACAAATAATTTTTTTTATTTTTCCCTTCACAGTTTACAAAATCCAGCAGGTCGACATGATTAGATTTTGGAGTTTCACGCTGTGAAAATCTCTGTATTAATTAGACGATGTGATTGCTTGAAATAACGGCAATCAAAGGTTTCCTAACAATGCCGTATTGACAGGACAAACATATTTGAATATTATTTACTAAAATTAGCACCACAATGAAATACATAATGAGAAATTAAAGGCTTAGCATTCCTTGAAGAGATACACATCACATCCTTTTGTACCGGAGTGTTAAACTGTGATCGTCCAACGGTGTTTAGAGATGAAGTTATAGCCAGTTTGGTAAAGTGAACTCTCACAAGCTCTGTCAAGTGTTGAGGATGACTCTCTGCTATGATGTCCAACTTTTTGTCAATAGCTGCACAATTTTTTTGCACAAGTTATAGCTCCTTTTGTGTTTGCTACAGCTGATTAGCCTTGGCAGCCATCTTGAATTGGGTTAACTCCTAAAGTTTACCATGAACATCCAAAGATCACTTTCTAAAATCCATTCAGTGGTACATGAGATAGTTTGTTAACACACAGACTGAACTGACTTGGTAAAGATTGAAAATAAAACAAACAAATTTTAACGTAATTAAAAAAATGTATTTTATTGTACATTTTTATGTGATTGTTCTTCTTTAATAAATTTTAAAAACGGCAACATTAATCGTACTGGACGTTAAACCGTACCCTGGATGAACTAACAATATATTCAACTTTCTTTTTACTTGTTTTGGACCTTTTAAATCTATGGAGCCTGTGAGGGGACATATTTTTTTTTTATCTTTTGCATTCCCACGCAATAGTATTGCGTTACTTAGTAATATATTTTTGCATTCCCTTGCAAAAGTTGTTCATCACTTTTGTGCCTGCTGGTTTATTAATAAATTCAAGTACTCTCCATTAGCTAGTTAGCTTCAGAATGAAAATATCACACAGCCATGCATGAAAGTGTGTAATATGCCACTATTTTAACACAATGCAGCCACGTCAATGTCAATTTCACCAACTTGTGGCGACACATCGTGTTTTGGTAACCGGATATTTCAATATAAAAATCTGATTTAATTCAGTTCATACAAAACAAACTTTTGCATGGGAACGCAAAACAACATTGCGAGGTAAAGCAAAAAGTTTAGCGAGGTAACGCAAAAGAAAAAAAATCCCCTGATGTCCCATCATGGGCTCCGTATTAATCAAGACATATAAACTGAAAATCAATAAACTGAGTCCAGCTGTTTTTAGGCCATCAGCACAAACATCTTTTCTTCTTCATTCACTTTGACAAATAACTTTTTCACAATATAATAATAATAATAATGTAACTCCGAAATGACA